TTAGTTCTACTTTAATGGGGGATAGGAGAAGGCAATGGCACCCCACTCCAGTACTCTTGCCTGGAAAATCCCATGGACGGAGAAGCCTGGTAGGCTACAGTCCATGGGGTGGCTTAGAGTCAGACACAACTGAGACTTCACTTTCACTTGTCACTTTCATGCATTGTAGAAGGAAATGGCAACCCACTCCATTGTTCTTGCCTGGAGAATCCCAGGGATGGGGGAGCCTGGTGGGCTGCCGTCTATGGGGTCGCACAGAGTTGGACACGACTGAAGCGACTTAGCAGCAGCAGCAGGAATCAGAGGAGAGCAGAAAAGTCCTGGAAGGGTTGGGAAAAAAGGGAAACTGTTAGTTGCTCAGTTGTGTCTGACTCTTTGTGACCCTATAGACGGTAGCCCACCTGCCAGGCTCCTCTGCCCATGGAATTTTCCAGGCAAGAATACTGGAGTGGGTGGCCATTCCCTTCTCCAGGGGATCTTCCTGACCCAAGGATCAAACCCGGGTCTTCTGCACTGCAGGCAAATTCTTTACTTCTGAGCCACCAGGGAAGCCCAGGTAGGGTTGGAAGCTGAGCCTTAAAAGATTAGTGTCTGACTATACAAGGGTTTAGGGAGTTTCCAGGGAAACAAAGACACAGAAGTGATAAAGTGAAGGATGCTAAATGAAAGAGGCAGAGTCAGCCTCACTGCGGCCTTCATACTGCATCCTGAGCAGGCATGTAGGTGTGTGATATACTGGAGGGGAGCTGGGAGGGTGGGCTAGCAGGTTAGAGCATAAGGGTTTAAGTAGGGGAATAGCAAAAGTTGGTTTGTGGTTGATGGTCATCTCAGAGGAAGCTTGTGATATGGACTGGAAGCAGAGCAGTTTTAACTGCTGACATCCCCAGAAACTCATTTTAAAAAAGGATTTGTACAGACTTGTGGACTCTGTGGGAGAAGGCGAGGGTGGGATGTTTCAAGAGAACAGCATCGAAACATGTATATTATCTAGGGTGAAACAGATCACCAGCCCATGTTGGATGCATGAGACAAGTGCTCGGGCCTGGTGCACTGGGAAGACCCAGAGGGAGGTGGAGAGGGAGGTGGGAGGGGGGACCGGGATGGGGAATACATGTAAATCCATGGCTAATTCATTTCAATGTATGACAAAAACCACTGCAATGTTGTAAAGTAATTAGCCTCCAACTAATAAAAATAAATGGAAAAAAAAAGAAAACACATGTACATTACCAAAAAATAACAAGAAAAAAGAAAAATAAATAAATAAAAAAGGATTTGTATTTGCTTCTAGGTTTAATTTGCTGATTTTAAAGAATTTTACCTCCATGTTAATAAGTGAGTTTGGTCTATGAATTTCCTTTTTTAAACAGTCCCGACCTAGACAGCGTATTAAAAAGCAGAGACATTACTTTGTCAACAAAGGTCTGCCTAGTCAAGGTTATGGTTTTTCCAGTAGTCATGTATGGATGTGAGAGTTGGACTGTAAAGAAAGCAGAGCGCCAAGGAATTGGTGCTTTTGAACTGTGGTGTTGTAGAAGACTCGAGAGTCGCTTGGACTGCAATGAGATCCAGCCAGTCCATCCTAAAGGAGATCAGTCCTGGGTGTTCATTGGAAGTACTGATGTTGAAGCTGAGACTCCAATACTTTGGCCACCTGATGCGAAGAGCTGACTCATTTGAACAGACCCCGATGCTGGGAAAGATTGAGGGCAGGAGGAGAAAGGGGCGACAGAGGATGAGATGGTTGGATGGCATCAATGGACATGGGTTTGGGTAGGCTCCGGCAGTTGGTGAAGGACAGGGAGGCCTGGTGTGCTATGGTTCATAGGGTTGTAAAGAGTCAGACACAACTGAGTGACCGAACGAAACTGAACTTGTTTAATTTTAATAGCAAGGTTAAGACTACCAGAGATGACTTAGATTGCCTTTATTCTCTTTCTAGAGTCTGAAATAGTTTTATCTCAGAAAATTTTATCTATTCCTAGAAGGTTTGGTTAAGGTTCCCTAGAAAACCATCTAAGCTTGGAGTCTTTAATTTTGAGGGCTGGGGAAGATTCTGTCTACTGATTCAGCTACTTTAATGATTATTGGACTATTCAGACTTTGTATATTTTTCCTTGATTTAACTTTCTAATTTATGTATGTTTGTAAAATTGTCCAGTTGATGGCAAATCTTTTATTTCAAAGTTATCCATAAAAAGGAACACAAGAAACTTTGAGGGGAGGTGGAAATATTCTTTATCTTATTTGTGGAAGTGGGGTCATAGATATACACATCTATCAGAATTTACCAAATTGTGTATTATAAACAGATACAGTGCATAGTAAATAATTTATACCCCTTAAAGTTGATTAAGCTTCCCAGGTGGTGCTAGTGGTAAAGAACCCACCTGCCAATGCAGGAGATGTAAGAGATGCAAGTTTAATCCCTGGGTCAGGAAGATCCCTTGGAGAAAGGAATGGCAACCCACTACAGTATTCTTGCCTGAAGGATCCCATGGACAGAGGAGCCTGGTAGGCTACAGTTCATAGAGTTGCAAAGAGTCAGATGTGACTGAAGCGAATTAGCACACACACAAAGTTGATTAACATTTATCTGCAGAAAATTATGCACAGTATTCTTTGTGATTTTTAAAAAGTCTCTTCTATGGGCACTCCTTACCTAGGTGCTGCCACTTTCACACTCAGGGCCGTTGATGTGTGGCCCTGCCTTAACTGGCAGACTGATAGAAATGGACAGCAGAATCTGAAAATACAACAGCACCATTTAAATACTAAATAGTTAATATGTTTTACTTTCTTAGAGCTCAGTGTTTTGCCAACTAAATTGTTTTTACTAGTTACTTAATGCAGTTGATATTTTTCTTTTCATTTGCTAAAAAAGACTAGTCGTCTGGATTTGAGAGAGCTAGTTATACTTGTTTAATGTAAAACTTTATTCCTTCTAGTTTTCTTCTAGTTATCAAATGCATTCTAGAAGAAAATATCATAATATGTGAGATGGACTATTTCATAGTGCAAGGCTTATATCTTATTGCTAAATATGAGCTAAAGAAGGAATAGGTCTATGAAATGTATAATCAGAAATGCCACCAGTTCGTCCTGAGGCTTATTCAGAACAAGCAGGAGCTTTTCAAGAGGTGTACCAAAAATGTTGTCGAACATCATTTTCTAACCGTAACAGATAATTATGTGTTTTTGAAAGTAGTATTAAGCAGTTTAATGGAAAATCAATTCTGCTTTTACTGAGTGGTGCTCAGCATCAGCAACAAAGCTAATTATCTTAAATTTGAAGTAGACCTCCTGGGATAAAAAAAAAAAATGTACAAACGAGTAATCCTTTCTCTTGCTTCCTTGTGCTATTTTTTCTTTTTTCTGTATTTGAGGTACCTTCTGGTTGTTTTGTTTTAATCTTGAAGAGAAGTTGGAAGCCCAAGACTGAATGCTATTGTATTGTATCATTTGCTAGGGCTCCCATAACAAAGCACTGCAGACCGAGTGGCTTAAATAACAGACATTTATTTCATCATAGTCGTGGAGGCTGAAAGTCCAAGATTAAGGTCTTCAGGGTTGGTTTCTCGTGAGACCTCTCTCTTTGAGTTATAGATGGCCGTCTTCTATATCTTCACATGTTGTATTAGTCAGGGTTCTCCAGATAAAACAGATCCAACAGGATGAATGGATACACACACACACACACACACACACAGATGGCTATGTGCGTTTGTGTCTATATAGACATTTACATAGAGAGAGAGAGAGATTGGGATTGATTTTAAGGAGTTGGCTTGCACAATTGTGCAGGAAACGTGGGTTTGACCCCTGGGTTGGGAAGATCCCCTAGAGAAGGAAATGACAACCCACTCTAGTATTCTTGCCTGGGAAATCCCATGGACAGAAGAGCCTGACAGGCTACAGTCGGTGGGGCCACAAAGAATAAGACACAACTTAGCAACTAAACAACAACAGCAGTTTCCAAATACAGTCCTATTATGAAATCTTGGGGGTTAGAGCTTCAGTATATGTATTTTAGAGAACAAATTCAAGCTGCTGCTGCTAAGTCACTTCAGTCGTGTCCGACTCTGTGCGACCCCATAGACGGCAGCCCACCAGGCTCCCCCGTCCCTGGGATTCTCCAGGCAAGAACACTGGAGTGGGTTGCCATTTCCTTCTCCAATGCATGAAAGTGAAAAGTGAAAGTGAAGTTGCTCAGTTGTGTCCGACTCTCAGCGACCCCATGGACTGCAGCCTACCAGGCTCCTCCGTCCATGGGATTTTCCAGGCAAGGGTACTGGAGTGGGGTGCCACTGCCTTCTCCTAAATTCAAGCTACAACAGCCATTAACTTAAAAGTAAGCATAACTAGAAAGACAATTCAAAGGGAAAAACAGTCCTCCTAATATTAAAAGTGTTATTTAGCCTGACTTTAAGATAAAGCATGTTTTTGAAACCTGAGATAAACCAATTAATTGGAATGGGAAATAACTTTTTAATATATTCATATTTCTACAATCTAGAAGTGAAGTTTGTTTTCCTTTGCCAAGGATATTTATATCATCACAGTAATTAGAAATTAGATTTTTTAAAAATTTCTTATTTTGATTATATGTGGATTTCTACCCATTTTCATTTTATGTTTTTAAGTTTCAAGTTAGAGAGAAACAGGTATGGAGTTTTTCTTGAGTTATGAACTAATTTGAAATTGTTATTAAAAGCAGAGCCACGTTTTGCTTTTCCTGGCAATATACAAAATAAACGATGGGAAAATTACCAATAAAATGGAGGAGAAAATTAGCAAGAGAATATAATACAAAAGACAAAACAGAAAATACATCTTCAACAGTTCTCTCAAATCATAAAAGTAATCTTACATTATCTCTTGTGTTTTATATCAGTACCTTATATCACTTATGTTTTTCAGATCTGTTTAACTAAAGGGTAAAGTGCTTTCCTATCTCTGATACCAAAAAAATGCTCCTGTTATCTCTCTCTTTTTTGCAGATAACAAAGAGATTTTCCTTTCCAAAGCAATTCACAAGTGCTTCATAGAGGTCAATGAAGAAGGCTCAGAAGCTGCTGCTGCCTCAGGTGCCAAATTATGGTTTTCCCAAATCTCACCTTTTCTAGATCTGTATTCTTAAAGCAATCTTGGGTGGGGGAATGGGAGTCATTTTTAGAACCAAGTCATAAAACTGATGCTGCCCTCACTTAGAAGTCAAGCTAATGATGAACCTGCTAGGATTTTCCAAATAGGATATGAAACATGCATTCATTTCAGTGCCCCATACAGAGTAACTCCCATCTGTAATGAGAGGCAGGAGGAGATTGTCAGCTCTGCAGAATAGATTTTCCTGCTGTGCTGTCCATTTAAATATTTAAAATATTTCCCTGCTGCCCGGTTAAACTTTTTCTTTTCTATTTAATTATTTGTGGGAGTTAGTTCTTAATTTTGTCAGTGAAGAGCATTGATTTTTTAAAAGCCCATGCACAACCAAGCATACATGATAGCATGCAATACAAAATTTTAAGTTAATGATAAAATAATAATTTTAAATGAAAATTTTAAAAAATTTACCTAAATCATCCATCCAAAAAAAAAAAAAACAACAACAATGGTAACAGTAAATGTCCTTAATTATTTTATTTTGAACATTCTGATTTCCTTAGTTAAGTGAGAAGGATTTTTCTTTTCTCATTTATTTGTTTGATTTTGTTTCAAGATCATGTTCAACAGCCATCACCAAATTTTAGAAGGATTTTTCCCTTCTCTAGTAAAATGTAACACATCATGTTTGTACACATTATGTTTAACCTCTGCATATATTTACCCATTAAAAGGATCTCATCAGTTAAAATGGTGTTTGGGGGAGGAAATAGAAACAGTAGTCTCAGGCATTGAGAAAGCTTCAAATCTTACATCATTTAATCTTGGCCTTTTCCTGACAATGCATCACCCTGCAGCAAGTATAAAATGATTATCCTACAATAAAGATCTCAAGGGAATTCAGTTTCCCAGCTGTAGGAAGCATCATTGAATCTCTCCCTGATGTATTTTCTCTTTAATCACTGCTGTTCTGGCCGCTTGCTGGAAGCCTGGTGACTTGCTATGTAAAATCCCCATTTCAGATAAAAGAAATGATGATTTGGTAATATAAAGAAACTGGGGGAGGGGAAAGCTGGGGAGGGTATTTGTTTGTTTGTTTTTTCCCACTTTCCTTGACTTAAGTCATTTTATTAAAGCCATAAGTATCTGTCTGAAGCCGAGAATAAAAATTTGTAATAGGCAGAATAAATTATCCTCTATTTTCGGTGGGTGATGGGAGGAAGTGTGTACATGTGTGTGTATGTATTTGTTTTTCTTTAAGATGAAATAGAGATGTTAGCTCATTTACAATTTTTCTCTCTTTAAGCCTTTAAAAGAGAAGCCTTGCTTCGTGTAAATCATTACCTTTGTGCTGAACATAGATGGTTTGGAGAAATTGCTCATTAGTCCCTGCATATCCTCAGACATGTAATTACTTTCTCACTGTGCTACAGGAATGATTGCAATTAGCAGGATGGCTGTGCTGTATCCTCAAGTTATTGTCGACCATCCATTTTTCTTTCTTATCAGGAACAGGAGAACAGGTAAGTCTGTTATGAGAGCAGAACTTTATTTATGGCCAAAAAGAAATCATTTGTTAATTGAAAACATACTCCTGCATTTTTATCAGATAATTTCTAATGTTCAGATGATTTTTTAAGTGACCATAATTTATTCACATTCTTATCTTTAGAGCATTGCTAATCGTAAGCAAGAAGGAAAATAAATAGCTTTTGTTCAACTCCTTTTTTGTTCACTCCCTACCCAATGCAGGTACAATCCTATTCATGGGACGAGTCATGCATCCTGAAACCATGAACACCAGTGGACATGATTTTGAGGAACTTTAAATCATTTTATTTGAGTAACAAAGAAAACAGTAACTAAGCACATATGTTTGCAACTGGTATATATTTGAGACTTGTGTTTTACAATATATCTTAAAATAATATTTAAAATAGTTCCTGATAAAAATAATGTATTTAAATTATAAGCCAACTTGTCAAGGAATGTTATCAGTATTATCGAGGTAATGGTCCTGTCATTTCATTGTGTTTGCTGTGCTAGTATTTAAAATAAAAGTACATAGTGAACATGTCAACAGCTCGGTTTTTCATTTTAGAAGTATTATATAGATACCTGTAGGTAGAATTTGGCAACAGTGGTACTTCTGGGCATCTTAAGCCTTTCATAATTGTGCAGAAACAAAGCACCAAAGTAAATTAGTGTTATTCACTTATACCTAACAAGCAACAACTAGTGAGGTATTTTTGTGGACAGCTACTCCACAAAAACTCCGATTGCTGTTTTTCTGAAGACAGTGTATAGTTTAAAATAAAAACCTGCAAACTGAGCATCTTTTATGTGGCTCCATGAAAAAACTTGTTAGGAAAAAATTGGGGCTATGCCAACCCATAGCTTATAGCTATAGTTTATTGACTATGTCTTTAAAGATCCACTTGGCTTCATAAGGGTGATATAGATTCCAAGCCTGGTATATCACCATGTTTTACTGCTGCAAGTAAAATCGGACCTACAGCTTAGTTCCCCCAAGTCCCCAAATAAGCCAGATGAGCAAATTAAGAATAAAAATATGCCCTCTGGTATGTCACTGGAGAATAAACTAGAAAAACTCTGCTGGTACAGATACTGGGAGCTAGCCGGTCACAGGCCGAAAGCCGCTCACAGGGATGTTCTTGTTTGTTCTGTGCAAGAGGTTTTCCTTTTTTGAACTTAAAGATCTGTAACTGGAGTATCACATTCCTTGTTTTTCCCATTGGTTCCTGATGGTTCTGGAATACACTTGTGTTTGAGACCTCTTGAGAGATATGTCCTTTGCATAATGTTTTGCTTTTATTCTCTAGTACAAATGTTGTCAATTCAGTGGGGACAGTATCAATTTCTTAAGTTCTCTAGTAAATTATTTTTTTATCCTATGGCTGAAACAACTTTGTTGGGGGGTGAGGGCGGGTGCATGAGGGAAGGAATAATCTCATCAGGTTCTATGAATGGAACCAGACTCATTTAATGCCAAATTTTTGATTCTTTGATTAATAATTTCTGAAAAAGTTTGAAATGTCTCAAAATTTAACAGAAACAGTTTGTGACTTGCTTGTATGTTAGTTATCTTGCTGTGATTTGGAGCTGTTAAGAGGATTGATATTATTAATTTTAATTCTGTTCAGGAGAGCTGTGGTTTGGAGCATGCAGGCCTGACTTTGACATACTGAATTCTAAACTGAGAGGAAAAACTTGAAAATCTGCATTTTTAAAAAGTTCCTTTGGTGATTTTGTTATACACTAAATCTTGAATATTGCTAAAATAAAGGATACATGTGGAACACTTAAATATTATTTGTTTGCATGCATGAGTGCTCACTCGTTCAGTCATGTCCAACTCTTTGTGACCCTGTTGTCTGTAGCCCACCAGGCTCCTCTGTCCACAGGGATTCTCCAGGCAAGAATACTGGAGTGGGTTGCCATTTCCTCCTCCAGGGGATCTTCCTGACCCAGGGATTGAACCCACATCTCCTGCATCCCTCTGCATTGGCAGGCAGATTCTTTACCAATGAACCCCTGGGAATCCTGACTAGTTGTTTAAATGTGGTTAATTTATAGAAAATTAGATCAATCAATGAAGTACCCTAAGTTGGTTTTTTATGTGTAATACAATCACTTGGGTATCTAATTAAAAATGCAGATTCTCATTTAGTAGCTTTGGGATGGGACCTGAAATTCTACATTTCTAACAAGTTCCCAGGCGATGCCATTACAGTTGGCCCATTGACTCAGGTTGGTGGCAAAGCTCCACTTAACATAGGTTTACATGTTTTATATTTTTACATATTGAAACAGAAAAGTTTTATAATTTTCATGCAACTTGGAGAGATTCAAGAGATAGGGTTGTAGCTCAGTAAATTTATTAAAAATTGAGTTTACTCGAGAGTTCTTTTTTCTATTACACATTATAGAAAAATGCAGACTTCCTTTGCATATTAGAACACTTGAAATATAGGCTTTAAAAATATAAAGACACTTATAGGCAATGCCCACAAAAGAATGTATGAGTATCCAAGGACACAGTACTTAACATTTAATCTTTTACTACTTGTATATTCAGAAGACTTATAGTTTATTCATAAAGCTGAGGTTATTGGAGACCAGCGTTCTCATTTTCATTTATAATATACACAGGCTGTTGATTCAGTATTGGTATTCTGAGTTTGTGATGTTCTTTATTACCGTTTCACTACTTCTTAAGCATTACCTATATTGTTATATCTGTGTAGCCATCAGTCAACTAAATGAGTTACCTATAAGGGACAGTAAACATCATTAGACAAGCATGTGGATTTTATAAAGTCCAAAATGCAATTTTTATTTGCTGATATAAGATTAAACTTTACCATTCAGAATGTTTACCTTAAAATATTTCAAAACAATTTAGATGTCCCTTAAATGAAAATGGAGTCTACCTTATTATTAGCTTGTTTATGGAGTGCTTAAAAATAGAATATTTGATAGTACCAAGGTTTTCCTATTGTTTTGTCTTGTTTATAATTTCTTCAATATTTCCTTTCTATTGAAAAATAAATCTTTTTTTAGTTTCTTTTTATTTAAATTGGGGCATAGTTGATTTACAATATTATATTAGTTTCAGGTATACAGCATAATAATTCCAACTTTTTATAGCTTATACTCCATTTAAAGTTATTATGAAATACTGCCTATATTCCCAGTGCTATACAATATATCTTTGCTGCTTGTTTATTTGTACATAGTAGTTTTTACCTCTTAACTTCCCGACTTTATCTTGCCCCTCCGCTCTTTCCTCTCCCCATTGGTAACCACTAGTTTGTTCTCTACATCTGTAAGTCTGTTTCTTTTTCACTACATTCGTTTATTTTATTTTTTAGATTCAACATATGTGTGATAACATACAGTATTTGTCTTTCTCTTATTTTACTTAGCAGAATACCCTCTAGGTCCATCCTTGGTTTTGCAAATGGCAAAATTTCTTTCTTTTTATGGCTGAGTAATATCCCATACACATACATATGCCACATCGTTGTTATCCATTCATCTATTGTTGGGCATTTAGACTGCTTCCATATCTTGGCTGTTGTAAATAATGCTGCTATGAATCTTGGGGTGAATGTATCTTTTCAAATAAGTGTTTTCATTTTCTTAAGCTGTATGCACAGGAGTAGAATTACTGGATCATTTGGTACTTATATTTTTAGTGTTTTGAGGAGAAATTTAAAAGTCTAGGCCAGTTTCATTTCCTTTAAAATGTATGTTAGCACACAAACACATAGACACACACATATGATGTGCACAGCCAGCTTACAAAAACTTTTCTATTTGTCTCATATCTGGGAGGAGGAAATCAACCACAATCACACATTTTCTGCTTTTACTTTAAATCATTTTTCCAGCTTCACTGAGGTATAATTGACAAATAAAATTATATATATTTAAACTTTACAACACAATGATTTGATATACGTATACGTGTGATTAACACAACCAAGTTGATTAACAAATATATCACCTTGTATGGTTACCGTGTGTGTGTGTGTTTGTGTGTGTGTGTGGTGAGAATGCTTTAGATGTATTCTTTTAGCAAATTTCAAGCATACAATATAGTATTCTTAGCTATGGTCACCATGCTGTGCATTAGACCTCCAGAACTTATGCATTTTATAACCAAAAGTTTGTATCTTTTGCTCAATATCTCCCTACTTCCCCTCACCCCAGCATGTAAAACCACCATTCTACTTTCTGTTTCTATGAATTTGACTGTTTTTGGGGGTTCCCCATATAATTGATACCATACAGCATTTGTCTTCCTTTTTATGACTTATTTCAAATAGCACAAGGCCCTCCAGGTTTATCCCTGTTATTATAAATAAGCCCTTCAGCCCTGGCAACCACCATTCTATTCAGTTTCTATGTACTCTTACTTTTTATTTTATTTATCTTTTATTTTTAGATTTTTCATTATGAGATCATACAATATTTGTCTTTCTCTGTCTATCTTATTTCACTTAGCATGGTGTCCTTCAGATTCATCCATGCTATTGAAAATGCTAGGATTTCCATCTTTTTATGACTGAATAATATTCCTTTGTGTGCATGTGTGTGTATATATATATTTATATATGTATTACACAGGAATACTATATTACACTTGTATATATATGTATTTGTATATATATATATGTGTGTGTGTGTGTTACACAGGAATACATATATTACATTTCTTTATCCATTCAAACATCAATGGATGTTTATGTTATTTTATGCCTTTATGAATAATGCTGCAATAAATGCAGGAGTACAGATATCTCTTCAAGATACTAATTTCTTTTCCTTTGGATATATACTTTAGATATTAAGTCCTTGTCATATATGGTTTGCAAATAATATTTTCTCCCATTTTTTAGATTCCCTTTTCATTTTGTTGATGGTTACTTTTGTTCTACAGAAGCTTTTTAGTTTGATGCAATCCCATTTGTTGTTTTTGCTTTTATTACCTGTGATTCTGGTGTCATATCCAAAAAATGATGGCCAAGACCAAAATCAGGATCTTTCCCCCTATTTTTTGTCCTAAGAGAACAAACATAGAGAATATGAAACCTAGCTGCTTTGTTTCATGTCTGCCAACTAAGTTATTCCTGAGGGAATTCTTAAGTCTCAACATGAACATAAAAATAGCTCACGTAAAGAACTCCATCTCATGAAAACTGGGAGAGATATTTCCACAAAATACTCAGTTTACAGGTAGAATATAGTTTAACATTAATAAGCTAGAAACTAAATATGCATCCTAAATATATTGGCTTCT